CTGTTCATGCCCATGCCCCTCCCCCTCCCCCTCCCCATGGCTCTGTGTGGATCCTCTGCTGGGACCAGGCAGCAGATGTGAGGATCTTCTCAGGGAGGGCAGAGTGGCCAAGCTGCTTCTTCAGGGGGCTGCCTCCCATGCCCCTGCTAGGTCCTAAAACCCACATACACACACACCCACTGCTCAAGAGTCAAGTGTCAGCACAGGAGCCAGGCCAGTCTGGAAACCAGACCTTCCCTGCTCCCTATGAGATTGCCATGCACTTCTTTGACACGTGGGGGGGGGGGGGCTTTGGGCAAATCCCACCCCTTCTCCGATAGGCCTCTTACTGGGGGATAAGAACAGACTCCAAGGCCAGATGCCAGACCACCTGGGGCACCAGCCATGTGGCCACAAACAGGTTTCTTCAGCTCCCTGAGCCTCTTTCCTCACCTGTGACATGAGGGTGGGATGGTACCTTAGGAGTGTGAGCTCTTGTTACTATTCTTATTTCTGTAGAACTCAAACCCTACACCCCAGATCAAATTCTAACCTAACAAACTAATAAACAAAAAGCAACAAAACAAAAAATATTATATGAGGGATACAATGAAGAGGCCCATCAATCTCCCATTGGCTGCCCTGGCTGCATGGGACTTGGTGGTATAATGTCACCCACCACAGGCCACCAGGAGGGCCATGTGTCCCGCCAGCCCATACCAAGGGGCAAGTGTATGCAAGCGCCTTTGAAAAGGTGAACTTACCACTCAGTGGCCGGCTGTCGCTTATGCAACCACTGTATCTTGCCTGCTTTTTCCTCAAATTAGGCTCAATTTCCTTGTTCTAGCCTCAAGGGAGAAAGAGAACAGCTGTCTCCTATAAACACCTCTTCCAGGTCTGGACAACCATTAATAAACACCCCTTCCCACTTCTCTGGCTCTATGATAGGATACATCAAAGGCCCTGGATAGCGGCTGCAGGTCTCTGTGAGACGGCTGCTTTTCACCCTAATTCCTCTAATAATTAGTGGTTGTAAACCACTCTGAAGATAAAAGGCATTTTATAAGCGCTAAGTCCTGTTATGATTAGCTCCCCACTATGCTGATGAACACATCAAAGCCAAACACAGCCACAGCATGGTGTCTGGTGCTTAATTAGATGTAGTTCAAGGTGGCTGGTATATATTAAAGAAACTGCTGCAAAATTTATCAACATTTAAAAAGTGCCTGCTTTCTTTCCAACGCGACAGGCTCTTTTCCAAGGCGGTCCCTGTTGATGCCTGCAAGGCTGTCCGGCGAGGACGGAGCTAATATAGCCTCTGGGCCCGGAAGGGAAGGCTGCAATAACAGCACCTGCCCGTGGATAATGTCTCCTTGCTGTCAGCACGAGTCTACGCCGGGGCTCTCATTTTGTTCTGTTTCCCTATCATTCTGCAACATGAGCACATAATACTACCCGCCCTTTGCAGAGGAGGAAGCGGGGACCCACACATCAGGAGGTACCACTGGGCAGGGGTTCAGTTATCAAGGCGACCCTTTTGCCGCCCCAGCCACACCCCCAGGATATATGTACACCTCTCCAAACCCCACACCCAGCCTTTCCGTGCCTTTTCTAACTCCTTCCACCTGTTGACTCTCAGAAGGCTGGCACTTGGGTGCTGGAGCCACGCTGTCCACATGGACGGAGCCAGAAGTGCCTGAGTTTCCCGTCACCTCTCAGCCCTGACCCGATGGCTGGTGCATACGTGTGAAAGCCCAGTGCCCTGGCCTCCAGCAGGGACAAACGCTGCCTTGTGATTTGTACTGTAGAGCACATCTGTGGGTCCAGGCTAAGGCTGGAACCTGCCTGACATCACTCTGGCTTCTTCCCCTCTCCTGCCCTGCTTCCTGCTCCTTTACTTTGTCCTCCTGGGAACATTTCCTGAATAAATCACTTGCACATTGGTCCCCCTCTCAGGATCTGCATCTGAGAAACCAACCTAAGACAATTCTCTTGGTTTAGCACTAATGAGGACATTTTGCATGTTTGCCGTTAAATGCATTCTCCCAGATCTCTTTGGTTTCAAGTCTTCACTGCCAAGTCTCCAACCCTAATATTTATCTTGTCTGTGTCTACTCCCAGGCCCCCACCTCTTAGCTCTTCACTCTCAAAGTACCTACTCTCCCTTGGATCATGATATCCCAACTGCTTCTGAAAAAACTAACCTTTGAGCTTTCCCTGGGCACATGGAAGGCACCGAACCAGCAGATGCTGGGAGAGATACAAAGATATGTTTATGACCAGCCCTTTCCTCAATGAATTTACAATCTTGCAGGGGCATAAGACACAAATACTGGGGGCAGAGGATATGAGAAGAGCTGTGTGCATGCACACAGGAAAACTGTAGGAGAAACAACTCAGAATTTTCCCCCAATGCAAAGCCGCTGTCCACAGCTCTCCGCACTGTTCGATTCTGGCTGGTTTACTCAATCTTAAATGTCTAAGGAAATGGAGGTCAGCTCTGGCAGAGATACTCCAAATGAGTGGAGAGTCCAAAAAAAGCAGCTGGTATTTCATTCTGGTTGGCATTTTCTAAAAAGCAGTCCTACCTCAGGAAACAGCTTCAGAGAGGGTAAACAAATTGACCTAGGAAGACAGCTAATTAGTGACAGAGTGTGAACTCAATCCTAAGCTTGCCTAATTCTTTAAAACCTCAGTTTATTTATCTGTAAAATATGACCAATGATTCCCACTCTGCATAATTGTTACAAAGATTTAAAAATAGCTTATCAAAAATATCTGGTACAATAAGCACTACATAGGTGGAAATCACTCTTATTACTTCCAGGGGTAATATTATTGAGCCAAAGAGCACTTTATATGCAAATGTTAAAGGTTCTTAATACATATTACCAAACTGCTTTAAAAAACAAAAACAGCTAAACAAGGCCGTGACAGCATTGCCCAGGGGACCTTCCTGAAACGCAGGCCTGATCATGCTTCCCTGTGGCATTCAGAATCATTGCCGAATATTCAAAACAGCAAAGATATAAAAACAGCCTAAGTACCCATCAATGATAAATGGATAAAGAAGAGGTGGCATATATTCACAATGGAATATTATTCAGCCATGAAAAAAAGGAAATCTGCTATTTGCGACAACCTGGATGGAAGGGCTTTACCCTAAATTAAATAAATCAGACAAAGAAGACAAATACTATATGATCTCACATGTGGAATTCAAAACAAAATAAAAAACAAACTGAACTCATAGGTACCAAATACAGATTGGTGGCTACCTGAGGTGGGATGTGGGGGTGTGGGAACCCAAACAGGATGTTCAAGGCCAATTTGCCATACGCATGTGCAAAGGCAATGACACAGCAGTTTTACTGCTCGCACTGCACAGTTGTACCTCTCTATAACCCAAATATTGATGTCCCTATTTGGCAAGAAGCCTCTTTTGTCTAAGTTGGTATAAAGAGGTGTTACTGGCCAGCAGGTGCGCGGCTGCTTTGTGGGGCTACTTTGAAGAGCTGCTTTGTCTGATGGCTCCTTGTTATCAGTGGCTACTTGGTCTGCGATAAAGTCTCTCCTATATGCCTATGACTTCTCATATCTTCTTCCAATGCCAAAGGGGGGAGAAATGGGTGAAGGTGGTAGAAAAGAACAAACTTCCAGTTACAAGGGGAGTATGTCCTGGGGGTGTAAACGTACATACAGCATGGTGACTATAGCTAACAATATTGTATTTTCTAAGGGAGCAAATCCTAAAAGTTCTTGTAACAGGAAAAAATATTGTAACTATGCGTGGTGATGAATGTTAACTAGACTTATTGTGGTCATCATTTTACAATATATTCAAATATCAAATCATTATGTGTACCTTAAAGTTATATAATGTCATATGCCAATTATATTTCACTAAAGCTGGGGCAGGGGGAGGAGAGGGGGGAGAAAATTGTGTCCTCAAGTAGACTGGGAAAAATAATGGCCATCTGATGAACTCAGTTTCTGGAAGCTAAGCGCCTGCTAATGATTCTCATAAATATTAAAAACAGCAGCAAAGACACCCACACAGACTTCACAGATTTCAGGCCTGAGGACCAGGGGCTGTGGGCTACCCTGTCCACCTTTTGATCTCTCACTCACCTGGCAGGTCCCGGCTCCTCAGAGCAAGGGTAACGCTTCAGGTCTGGAGAGCACGTTTGCGACCCGTGTTTGAATCCCGCCTAGGAAACACACAGAGAAGAAAACGTCGTCTTTCCCCCAGGAGCCGCAGAGGAAGGGGTTTATGGCAATGAGGGGAAATGTCCCTCTCATTAGGGCTGCAATGCCCCCCAGAAAACAGGCCTCGTCCCATCCTTTTCCAGGTTTTGGAGATGAGGAGCGATGGAGGGATTACAGTGGGAAGTCTGCATAGCAACCTGAGTCTGGAGATGGGTCCAGCCCAGCAGGGGCTGACTCTTGTGCCTGAGCAGGGGGTAGCCTCGGGGCTAACTGGACACCCCCTTTCAGCAACCCCAGCTCTCAGCAGTGATCTTTCAGCTCTTTGCATCTGACCCACAAACGCTGTCTGCACCATTGTGGAAGCTTACCCTTGAAGATGGAGAAAGAGAATTGTGGCCAGAATCACTGCCCTACCTAAGAAAGCTCTGCAATAGTATAGTAAGTAAGAAAAACCTAAGGGCCCAATAAGGGCACCAACCTAAACGATGCTGGAACAGGATCGGGGACAGGGAGAGGATGGGGCAGTTGGTGATGTTAATTAGCACTGTGAACCTGAGGACAAACTTTGCAGAATGCTTTGGCCTTGTGCTAAGTAACATGGTCTGAGGGCATGCCTGAAATTACTGCAGGCAGCTGTAGTGACTGCAAAGGAGGCTGGGATTCTCTGTTGTAGCCCTGCTGAGGCCAAATCTCCAACAATCACTAGATCTGGCAGACCAGATGTGTATTCCTAGCAACCTTGGTCTCTGTAGGGTTCACATGCACAACTCATCTGAAGCAAGTGCCTGGTATTCTATATGAGGTAATGCAGTTCTCAGGTGTTCATTCAACCATTCAGTGAATGTTTGCTCTGTGCAGGCACTTTTCTAGGTGCCAGAGAAGCATCAATAATGCGAATCCAGCAAGCTTTGCACCTGTGGAGCCTAGATTCCAGTGGAGAGAGACAAGTAATACATACATAAACCCAGTAAGTATTTTCAGAAAATGAAAAGTGTTGGAAGAAGTCAGCTCTCAGTACCTACCCCTCAGGGGCATTGCTGCTGGAAGCAACCAAGGTGTGGAAGCCCCACCCAGGCAGCAGCCTTCAGCAGAGCCAGAGCCAGGAGGAATGGAGAGCAATGTTGCCGTGACTGTCCCCAGCTGCCGACACCGGGGAAACTTAGGTTATACATATTTAGAAAATATGTTTTGGCTCTACATAAGATGTTAATAGTGTTATTTCTAGGTGGTAGTCTTAAGAGATGATTTATTTTGAGTTCCTTCTGAATTTCCTAATAGTTTTATTATTACAATGTAGTGCTTTTGCAATGAGGGAAAAACACATTTTAAAAAATGAGAACACTGGCCTAGATAAATCAAATTAATAAGGAATAAATTTGGATGGGTAGGCAGGGACCAGATCTTAGGATGATGAATAACATCTTGCCATGCCACTTTATGGCTTACAAAAGCAATTTCACAAAAATATCTCCTTCAACCCTCACAAGATAATCTCAAGGTTACATAAAAAAATAAACCTGAGTGCAGGAAAATGCCTGCCCCCAAGTGCCCGACTTCTCAGCCAAAGTGTTTGCCATTATTCCACGTGGCCTTCTGAAGCTGACCTCCCTTCAGACACCGCCAGCACCCAGGTGCTAACTCCCCCTGTCTCCACCTTTGCCCTCTCCTACAGGGACCAAGCTGATTTGTTCAGATGTGTAGTTATTGACCCAGTCTTCACCTGGTCCTACCTGGTTCTAGGCATTGTACTGAGTGCTGGGGACACAGGGAGAACCAAAAAGGTCTCCCAGTGTGGGGGAAAGGTCTTCACAAATTAACGAATGTATGATACAAATCATGGATACTGCAGTGGAAGAGAAGTAAGGGTGTTATGCAAATGGCTAGCACCAGAGGGAGCTGATCTGGATGGGACACTAGCCCTTTGCCCGATACTGAGCAATACGTTGTCACTGAGTCCCCAGGGTATGTCAGGCACACATTCTCGTTGAGTCCAAGATTACAAGATACCAGTTCTCAAAGGACATATACTCTGGAGAGAGAGGCAGCACTCAACACCAAAACAGAAGTCCACTGAGGACATCGTGGCACTTACAATGATGAAGTAGCCCCCTTCAGCCCTCTCTGAAACAAGGTGACGTTGACCAACCCGATCATCAGTGTTGGCACAAGTCAACATGTGATTGTCACCAGGAAAGAAATGGCACAGACATACAGAAAGTGCATAGCTAACACCACAAGACCGGGCTTCAGTGTCTGAGTGGGTGGCACAAGCATTTAAGAAAATAGGACCTTAGAGAGGGGAGAGGACTAGAGGGGCCGCCATGCTGGAAAAGGCTTCTGTGGAGGAGGCGGGCCTCAGATGGTGAAGGGATTTGGATGTTCTTCCAGGCAATCCCATTTAGCACGGCCTCGAGGATGCCCAAGAAACCTGCAGCACAGCCCATGGCCCTTTCTCTCCTGGACGCAGGAGGCTGGCTTCCCAACCTCTCGCCTGGGACTTGAGAGAGGAGGCCTGGGGTCCTGTTACGTCTGTTTTGGGGTTTCTAAGTGTCCCTCTAACTAAGCTCTGAAGAGCCAGGAGGGCTGTTGGTCACCCAAGGCTGAACATAAAGTCTGATTTCAGCACCAGATAGCTAGCAAATGATGAAAACACCTGGCTAATGAGTGCATGTACACATTGGGTTTTACTGAAAAAAATCCGTAAGTGAAGCTCAAAGACTTTCAGGTGTTGTGATCTAATATGAACAGAAATTTCAAGTCGGGTTATGTTCTCAGTTGCCATTTGATATCACAGGCACCACTGCAGTGATCTGAGCTACAGTGAGTTCCCTGGATACACCACCAGCTGAATAGTAATAACCATACAATAATGACAACAAACTTTCATATGGTGCTTTAGAATCAACAAAGATATTTGTCACCTATGCCTATGGGTTAATATCTTATTTGTAACTAGAGGCCTAGTGCATAAATTCATGCACCGGTGGGGTCTGGCCAGCCCATCCAGATCGGGGTCAACTGGGGCTGGGCTGGCAGTGGGGAGGGGACACGGGAAATTGGCCAACCGACCCCGCCCCTGATCAGGCTGGTTGGCTGCCACAGTGCACATCATAGGGACCAGTCATTCTGGTCATTCCAGTCGCTTGGCTTTTATATATATAGATAAGAACATGCTGGCAGTTATGGATCCTGGACTATAGCTGGTGAGGCCTGGGCCTGAGGGTGCCAGACATCTCACACCTACCCCTCGCTGTGACACGGAGTCACCCTCACTGACACCTTCATCCCCACAGCGTTTTGACTTGGCAGTGTGCACTGTGAACAGGCTCAGGAAACCTGTGCTCATCCTGGATCTCCTCTGTTCTTTCTGTTTGAAGAACACAAGGTTTTGAGTTTAGACAGCGCTAGGTTCAAGTCCCAGGTCTGTCATTTACAACTCATGTGATCCACAGCAAGTTATCTAATTTCTCTCAGCCACTTTCCTCCTGTCTTTTTTTAAATTTTATTTTTTCAATTACAGTTTAACTCAATATTATTTTTATTAGTTTCAGGTGTACAGCATAGTGGTTAGACAATCATATACTTTACAAAGTGTTCCCCCAGATATTTTCAGGAACCCACCTGGCACGATACATAGTTATTACAACATTATTGACTATATTCCCTATGCTGTACTTTACATTCTGGTGACTATTTTTTAACTACCAATTTGTACTTCTTAATCCCTTCACTTTTTCACCCAGTCCTCCAACACCTCTCCCCTCTGTCAACCATCAGTCTGTTCTTTGTGTCTATGAATAGGTTTCTATTTAGTTTATACATTTATTTTGTTCTTTAGATTCCACATATATGTGAAATCAGATGATCTTTGTTTTTCTCTGACTGATTTATTTCATTTAGCATAACACCCTCTAGGTCTAACCATGTTGTCACAAATGGTAAGATTTCATTCTCTTTTATGACCAAGTTATATTCCAATGTATATATGTACAACCACTTTTTTTATCCACTCATTTATTGATGGAAACTTAGGTTGTTCCATATCTTGGCTATTGTAAATAATGCTGCAATGAACAATATGGATGCATATATTCTTTCAAATTAGTGTTTGGGGTTTCTTTAGGTATGTACCCAAAGGTGGAATCTCTGGGTTATAAGGCAGTTCCATTTTAAATTTTTTGAGGAAACTCCATACTGTTTTCCACAGTGGTTGCAACAATCTGTATTCCCACCAGCAGTGCACAAGGGTCCTTTTTCTCCACATCCTCACCAGCACTTGTTGTTTGTTGATTTATTGATGGTAGCCATTCTGACAAGTGTGTGGTGATAGCTCATTGTGGTTTTAATTTGCATTTCTCTGTGATTAGTATTGATAACTTTTCATATGTCTATTGGTCAAATGTATGTCCTTTTCAGAGAAGTGTCTATTCAGATCCCTTGCCAACGTTTTAATTGGATTGTGTGTGTTTGTGTGTGTGTGTGTGTGTGTGTGTGTGTGTGTGTTTTGTGTGTGTGTTTTTTGGGGGAGAGGGGTTGTTGAGTTGTATGAGTTCTTTATAAATTTTGTATATTAACCCCCTTATCAGATGCATCATTGGTGAATATGTCCTCCCATTCAGTAGGTTGTCTTTTCATTTTGTTGTTGTTTCCCTTGCTGTGCAAAAAGTCTTTAATTTGATGTAGTTCCATTTGTTTATTTTTTATTTTGTTTCCCTTGCCAAACAAGATATATCAGAAAAAATATTGCTAAATGTCAGAGATTTTACCATCTATGTTTTCTTCTAGAAGTTTATGGTTTTGAGTGTTACATTTAAGTCTTTAATCCATTTTGAGTTTATTTTTGTATATGGTGTAAGTTGGTGGTCTGGTTTCATTTTTTTTTTTTGCATGTATCTGCTCAATATTCCCCACAGCATTTATTGAATAGAACGTCTTTACCCGATTGTATGGTTTTGCCTCCTCTATCAAATATTAATTGACCATATAGGCATGGGTTTATTTC